GGGAGGTGTCTGAACGACAAGGAACACCAAGGACTGCCAGCCACCCCCAGAAGCTGGGAGAGAGCCTGGAACAGCCCTCAGAGGGAACCAGCCCCGCTGACCCCTTGATCTCAGGCCTCCAGAGGGGAGAGTGAACAAGCTTCTGTTGTTTCAGCCTCCCAGGCTGGGGTACTTTGTTCCGCAGACCAGGAAATGGGCCCTGGGAGCCACGCGAGGGCCGTGGTGGGTGCAGGTGTGTCAGTGAGGATGCCTCCTCCCTCTGGTTGGCATCGTGGCCCAAACTCCCACATGGGAGAGGAACGGAGTGTGCCCCCCATGCAGGGTGTCAGGGGAAAGCTGTCTGAGATGCGTGCATGTTTTTAAATGATGATTTCATATTTGGAAAACAAACAATTGTTTATAAGACAGGCCTCAGAAACAAAGCTCAACAACTCTTGGCTTAGGCAACGCTGGTGCGGCGATTCTTAACTTGGGGCGTGGATAGACACGTTGGGGTGTGGGAGCGTTATTTGTGATTTGTCAGAAGTGGGCATGGGTTTTAAAAGAATGCGAAACCCGGCTGCAGGTTCGGCCATGTCAGGGCCGGGAAGGTTATTTTGGGCACTCAGTTGGGAGGGGGGGAACGATGTCTATTTTTGCAGAACCTGGTCTGTTTAGAGCAGACTGCAAACAGGAGGCCTGCAGGCCTTATTAGGCAAGAAGATGGGTTTGCTTAGCCCCATCCAGTGTTTGAGACATTTGGAATTAGTTGCCAACACTTAAAACCAATGAAATTGCATGTCCCGATCTTGATCTTGGCGGTTCTCTAGAAAACGCGCCTGCACTGCCCAATGGTGAAGCTGCATAGAGGTTGCCCGTCTTTGTTTTGCCACAGTCCCCACCACTCCCTTTTGCCTCACCACGGCATGAGGGGCTGGCTGATAGATTAGGACCCCAGATTCAGGGCAGCGTTTCTCTGTTTGGTTTCTGCTGCTCTGAAAAAGTCAAAGGCTTTCACTCAGGAGCCAGCTGTTTCCTACCTCTTCCCTCCACTTCCAAGGCAAACTTTCCCTCTTATCTTGGGTCAAAAGACATCTTCAAATGAACAGTCATGCATTTTGATTACGCTGAGAAGCCCCACATGAAATCCTTTGCCCTCTGTTCTGCAGGCATATATCCATGTGATAAGGCTTTGTACCTGTCTGGACTCTTTTCATACACTTGAGATTTAATTTTAAATAACCAAAGAGTGCTACAAAACTTTGTAAATAAAAGCATCTGACAGTTTGCTCTCACACACCTAGGGTTTTTGCCTTTTGAATCAAGGTTGCACATAAACGTCACACACCCACAGCCTGTTGGCAGGTTTGATTCCCGCTGTGTTGGATGACAGACTAGACTAGCAGAGGTGGCAGAGCTTGGCTTCTGCAGCCCAAACAGGGCTCAGTCCAGCTCCTCATAATGACCAAAGGTCCTGGGGCCGGGTGGCTTCGCTCACCAGAAAGCTCCATAAAGGCACACGCACACATCACATGGAGTAAAGGGGAAGCTTCTCTGTGTCCAGAGGTGCCCTGCTGTGTCCCAGCACATTGCACCTACCGCTCTGCATCCCTGCTGGCGCCCAGTACTTACTTGGAAGTGGTAAGTGACTCCAGGCTGACCATAGAAGAATCAATATCCCTCTCAGCCAGGGTCTTGCCATCACACACCTCGGGGCCCAGGGTGCACCATCGTCTCCGCCTGTGTCCAGCTGCCTGGTTTTTGCAGGAGGCCCTGGGCAATCATCTCCTGGGCCCTGTTGAGAACTGCAGGTCGCCGTGCTCGGTGGAGTGAGCCTCCTGGAGGACGTGTGTGCCTCCAGAGCTGCTCACAAAGTGTGGTGCAGATCGTGTGCGCTTGACCACTGAGGCTGCTGGTGCCCCGCCCCTGCCCCGAGTACCGTGGGCCCAAGGTCCCCCTCAGTGATTCTGGGATCAGCTGTTCATCTTGCTTGCGCCTCTCCCTGGAGCCATTCCTACATCAGCACCGCTGAGGCCCCGGGGCAGGTGGGGTCACAGCAGCACCGGGCTCCTGGGTGGCATGAGGGAGGGCCAGGTGAGTGACAGGAACAGAGAGGCCTCAGTCGACCCAACGTGGTGATTCTGATCATCAAGGACCCGCTTCATGGCCACATGGTTTCTTTCCTCACAGTCAGAGGTCAGGGTGACAATCCAGTGGGGGTCAGACTCCCAGGCCCTGCTGTTGGGAGACCAAGCTCCCCTGAGTGGCTGAGGCCTTTGGGGATATTGTTTATTTATTTTGGTTTGCTTGCAGGTTTTTGTTTCTTTTTTAAAGTCACCGAGCTGCAATCCGACCTCAAAAAAATAAGCAGAGCCAATCACAGGTTGCAGAAGTGCAGGTCTGCCCTGGAGCGCTCACCCTCTGCTGGGCGTGGCCCCATGGGCTCTGGCGAGGTCCAGCTGCCTCGGGACCCGCACGTCTGCGCCTGCAGAAAAGTCCCTGTGCCCAGGGTGATGCAGCTAACCCGTCTCCAGCAGCGAAGGGAAGTAGGGGCCCCCAGCCCCACATGCCCAGCCAGGTGGGCACCAGCGCCAGATGCCAAGACTGTGGTTACTTTTTAATTGTCTTATTTATTTAAATATGAAAGAACATTTCACTTCTGCCCAGTTAGTCTGCCCAGTTGGTCCCCTGGGGGATGACAAGAAAACAGCTGGCTTAGGGTCAGAGAGCAGCAGGACGGCTCCCCCCAGGAGAATCCCGGAGCCTGGCCTGATCCAGGGGAGACGTTGCCGGCTTCAGAAAAGCTGTGACCCCCGTGAGCCCCACCTTGTGCCCTGACGCCTCTTCTGATAAGAAGAGCAGTGGGTCTCAGAGCCACACTCCTCGTGGGGAGGGGAAGGTGGGAGCCAGGAGAGTCCTGGCCCTCCAGACTCTGCCCTGGCGCCTCAGCTGCCCTGCGAAGCCCTCTGAACGGGGCAACATCAGCCTGGGCAGAAAATTAACAGCCCCCCCCCCCCCCCCAGAAAACAAGTACTGGGCCCTCATGGGGCCCGGCTCCTTCAGCGGAGATGAGGAAAAGCCACACTCAAAGGGACTCCTGGTCACAGCTCACTGCGTGTCGCCTTGGCCACGATCACCAGCTTGGACAGCTCAGCCTTGAAGGCCCCGGGCCTGTGGGACACTGCAAAAGAAGAAACCCTTGGTCAGCCCTGGCCTCCGCAAATCCTCCGGGTCCTGAGCCAGGTGCGGGCAATGATGGGAGCAGTCTCCGAGTGGACTCCACAGGGAAAGGCCCCTGGCCCTGGATGTCTTACGGGTGAGGGATAGGAGAAAGGCGGGGAGGCTGTGGGCCTGTCCTGAGGGCAGTGGGAGGCCATGGGAGATGTCGACGTGGGAAGTTTTGCCACACTGAGAATGGCTGGGGTTTGGAGGTTTGCACTGGCAAGCTTGTCTGATGCTCTTCGGGCAGGGTCAGGGAACCTGGCCGCCCCCAGCTCTGCACACCCAGCCTGCCCCCCACTCCCTGTCCATCCTCACCATCTATGCTCCCTGGAGCTCAGGGTCTGCAGCAACCCAATCCCCTCTTTCCTTGATCTCCACTCTAAACGGGCCCCTGCCCCCACCCGGAGGACCTGCGGGCAGGTCAGGCCTCCTTCCAGGCCCTCCTAAAAGCCCCGCTCGTGCCGCCCACTCCCCTCCCCTCCCCTCTGGTGCCTGGTGACGTCCACGGCCACATGGGTTCCTCACCTCATCTCTCCCCTGTCCTTCAGGACCCTTGGGGCTCCCCGACTCGGCTCAGCCCTGTGTTCACTGTCTCATTCACTCATCCCCCCTTGCTCTCGCACCCTGAGCCCCAACTCGGGTGCCTACCGCCCCTCTTTCTGCTCGGCATCTGGCCTGCATGGCTACAGGTGAATGGGGTCAGAGGCCACGGGGGTCTCGGGGCCCCAGGAGGTGACCCCCGCCTCCCGTGTCATTCATGCACAAGGTCCCAACTGTGCTGCTTGAAGCTGTCATGGAGCCCAGGACGGCCAGGCTGTGTAGGCGTCAGACCCCGCGGGCCCCTGCTCCCTGGCCTCCTATGGAGCTGAGTGTCCCAGGACGCAGCTCTCCGAGGACAGACTCTCATGCTCTCCATTCTCTGCTAGGGATTGGGCAAGTGTGCCTGCCGCCCGTGAGCGAAGGGTGGTTTCTACACTTTCAAATAGCTTTAAGAAAAATCAAAGGAAAAATGGCATCCTGTGATATGGGAAAGTGATGACATTCACAGTTCAGTGTTCACGAAATAAAGTTTTATTAGAAGGCAGCCACCCCCATTCACTGACTAGTGGCTTACGGCTGACTTTGCCTTATGGGGGCTGGGTCGAGTTGTTTCAAAGGAGGCCCCAAAGCCGAAAATATTTACTAGGTGGCCCTTTGCAGAAGCCGTTTAGGGATGGCAGCCTCCTCTCACCACAGGGCCCCTGGATCGCCCTCTAGCGGGGGTCTTGTCCCCTCTCTCACCCCCTCCCTGCTTGAGAACCTAGATTCCAGCTCCACAAACCCCTCTACGTACCTGCTGTTTTGGTCACTTCAAATTCCTCGTTTTTCAGGGGCACGTCGCTCTCTCTTTCAAAAGCAGCTTTCGACTGAAAGGGAACAAGTGGAAACTTTTCTAATGGGGAAGGAACACGGCTCGCTTTGCTTTGCAGAGCAGCAGAGACTAAAGCTGCATGCTCCTGCTGA